TTGCACATACCATTGTTGATCAGCCTGGCAGTTTACTCTGATTTTATTATGAGAGTGTTATTTGTTTATCAGATTATATGAGTTTTGAGATACTTGTGTTATGGTTTTACTTCATGACAATGAGATTTATGTTTAATAAATGATTTTCAAAATGAAATTTTTGGCTTGTATTTTTGGGATGTTTCATGGTCCGTAAGTCCTCCTAGACTCATGTCGTGAGGCATGCGCACTCACGTCGTGAATCCTAACTGATCAAATATTCACTTAATAAATCCAGGTTTTTATTAACTACAAGTCTTAATTAATTACCAATTAATTCAAGGACCCTACACTTAATGTTTTTTTTTACCATTCATAAAATTACTTAGACGATGAGACGATTGATTTTCATAAAAACTAGAATTCAAAAACTAAAAGGAAAAGAAAATCAAACCGGGCTCGGGTCGCCTCCTGAGAAGTGCTTTTCTTTTTATGGAATCGTGGGCCAGACTCCGTGCCTCCTTACGTTGAGCTATCTGAATAGTCCATCACCAACTGGACCTTTTTTCTCCTTCCATCACTTTTTGTAAGCTTGAACTCGTTGTTGATACGCATTATTCGGATTCTCCTTTTTAGCTTTCACCTCATCTATATCGAGCTTTCTTTTGGTCCCTTTATGTCCTTGCAAGTTGTTGTCTACTTTTTCCTCTTCCTTCATATTTACAAGAACCAATGTTTCAGCCATAGATTAGCTTCTTTCTTTGGAAGTAACTTTGTCCTCGTCCTCATCACTCGATAATTCGTCACGTTCCTCTCTAACCCAAGAAGTTGGATTTGTATATGCTATTAATTCAACAAAAAATGAAATGGGTGCTCTTGGTTTTGTACGTTTGACTTATTGAATTATATTTAATTTTTCTTCCATTAACGTCTCCAACTATCCAAGTTCATCATCTTTGTCAATGTTACAAACCTCGTTTTGAACATCACTTCCTTTGAAACCATCTTCTACTCCAAAAATTTCCTCTTCATCTCCAACTCTTAAGGTGAGTTTGGACTCACATACATTAACCAAGGCACCAATAGTATTTATTAAAGGGCAACCAAGAATAATCAGAACATTGAGATCTTCTTTCATATCTAATACCACAAAGTCAATTGGAAAAACAAATTTCTCAATTTTCACTAGAATATCTTCCACAATGCCCCGGGGTTGTGTCACTGAACGGTTCGCCATGTGAATTGTCATTTTTGTAGCCTTCAACTTATGAATATTCAACTTCTGATAAAATGTATAAGGCATCAAATTTATGGTAGCCCCAGAATCAGCTAAAGCATAAGTCTACATATTATTTCCAAACTCACATGGAAGAGCGAGGCATCTAGGATCTTACATCTTCTAAAGTAACTCTCCCAGCACTACTTTTGAACTTTGCTCACTTAAAATAACCTTGGAAATTTTCTTCAATTGTTGATGAGTGTCTATCAAATCTTTAGGAACTTTGCGTACTCAGGAATTTTTGATAACAACTCAATAAAAGGAGTATTTATAGGAATACCCTTTACGTGCTTTATAAACTCCAAATTCTCCTTTTCCAGTGGATTAAGATTAGCTCGGGACGATAATGGTAAAGGCGGATGATAATCTGGAATAATTTCTGAAATTTTCTAATCGGACCGATAACACGTCATCAGCATAAAGAGTTCACGTCATGATTTTGGTGTTTCAGCAAAAATATTATTTTCGACTTTTGACTTCTTCGGTTTTGGTTCGGCTGGTTTTGGATCCTCCTCTAATGCTTCTACGAACTCAGAAATAGCTTCGTCTTCAGTCTCGATCATCATGACATGGGATTTAGTTTATTTTTTGGGAAATTCTGAGGATGATTTGTTGTTCACCAAAGTTGTTAATTGACCAAGTTGGGTTTCAAGATTATAAATCGATGCTTAATGATTTCTTAATGAGGCTTGATGATCTATCATCATTGCATGTTTTTCTTTCATCATCTTCATGTGCTCCTTCAGCATTACATCGGTACCATCATGTCTTTTCTCGGAAGCTTCCATAAATCGAGTTAACATGTTTTCAAAGTCAACTGTTTTTCTCAGCTAGTGGTTGCCCTTTTTGGTAGAAGCCTCAGGCTGGTTGCTTATATTTTTCCTCTTTTGCATCTTGTATTTCGTCATATAGCAGCCACTCCTTCTTTGGTTTTCTCCAGTCTTCATCATATTTATCCCCACTAGATTAGCAGACTTGAGTTTTTTTATACCCATTATCATCTAAGTGGCAATCTTTGGTCAAGTGTGCACAATTACACCTTTCACATCCAACTCTTATAGCATGTATTGTCTGGTCCATTTTTCTCATTCTCATGTCCATTGTATCAAGCATGGCCATTACAACAGCCATGTCTGCAGAATTTCCACCCTCACTTCCTTTAACTCCATCATTTCTTGGATTGTGGTACTCACGAGAATGCTTTGCAAATTCTTCAACTAACTCCTTGACTTCCCCCAGATTTTTCTTAGGTAGTACTCCTTGAGAATCAAGGAGTTGCCTTGTCATGACATTAACACCATCATAAAATATTGACACTTCTTGTTGTGTATTGAGGTCAGTTTGAGGATAATTTCTCACCAATCCTTTATAGCGCTCCCATGCCTCACAAAGTGACTCACCCGGATTTTGCTAAAAATTTGCTATTGCCTTTTTGAGTTTAGCTATCTTGGAACTATAAAAATAGATGCTCACTTCGTCATTTCCCCCATCCCTACACCCAAATCCACTCTCTCTCGATCGATTCTTATCAACCTATGACCACATGAAGCTTCGGATACAAAAACAAGGATGTCTCTAACCATGGTACTAGGGTGAGTTTCATAACCCCATTTACTATTTGAAGGTCATACTTCTCAACTAACATAATAAGATGTTTTAAAAGAGATTATTGCTAAAACGTTATAGAAAAGTTAGGAATATGAAAGATAAACCTATTCATAAAGAAAGGTCCCAAATGTTTTCAAAAAGAGTTTATTTGTTAGAAGAAAAACCTATGAAAAAACTTGATGCGTGCAAATAGCTACACCAAATTCTAAATTTATAACCTAGCTACTTCACTAACTAAAATGCACCTAGGCAGTGTACCTAGTCAAATTATAGAATAGTTTGGGTAAGTCGGGTGTCGATCACAGGGAACGGTTTTAACTAATTAATTTACCTACTATTAAATTAACCTAATTTCTAATAAAGGAAGGGTATTTATATAATTTTGCAAGCTTAAATGAACTTAACTCTTTAACACAAATTCAATCAATAAACAAAACACTTTTGTTAGCTCGAATCCACTTTCTCTCAATGGTTTATAAATTAGTTATGACAATTACTGTTGATTACCAATTATGATAGTATTAGCAATTCAGTTCTAAATTAACTAACATTAATTAATTCTTGTAGATCTATGTAGGGTCACACAATAGTTAACACAGAATTAATTATAAAATAGAATTGAAGCCATGTAAGATTTATTTTAAAACACACTTACAGTCATAATATGAGTTCTCTAGCATAAGCTAATTCAATAGTTCAATTACTTATCTAAGATTTGTTCGATCTTAGCTCTAATAATCTAATGTTCGATAAATTATTAGGTATTCAAATTCATGCAGATTCATATTCAGTAACTACACTAAAAAGGAATTTAAAGCAATCAAATATTAAATCAAGCGTGCTAGGTTCAATCAATCAAACACAAGTCATAACCAACAAGTAAATCAAAGCTAAAGTATTAAAACTATGAGTTCCAGCTTCATCTAGCTAATAGAAGAAGCTAGATTTCGCTGGACATCCTAGCAAACCAACATAAACAAAGCATAGTCTTAATCATGTTTAAATGTACCAAACTAATATGTTAAGTATGAACTCTTTCTTCTTCTTTGGTATACAACCCAATTCCAAACCTTCTCTCCTTCTGATTTTCGATTCCAGAAACTCTCCAAGTCAGCCAAAAGTCTCCTAAGTCGTAGGGAATAATCAAATATATATTTTTCTACTTCTTCGCGCTCACGTCATGAACATCTATGTCTCACGATGTGAGTGTAGTAATTATCAGTGTTGGTCAAGGACTCCTCGGCGCGTATCCAATCTTTTGGAACATTCGTACTCACGTCATGAATAGTTATGAATCAGGACGTGAATGTAGCAGATTATGTGGTTTTTCTTCTCTTTTACTGTCGCTTGCCACAAATCACATTGGCAGCAGTTCTATCTGACTCTATTTATGTCAAACACCATCTAGAGACTTTGATTGTGCCTGATCCCACATAATCTACCCCAGTATCGGTTGAGCAGCCCTCGGATGCGAACAAACCAGTTTCTACTGGTGGCTAAAAGAAGAAGATAACGACACGAAAAACATCACCCACAAAAGTTCAAGCCAAACAGAGAACCAAAGTTAGTGGTTCCGCATAAAAGGAAACGCATGTTGACATTCGGTATGAGTATAGACCTCAGTTAACACCTCCTATCCACTCTTTTGAAGTATCCTTCAGAGTTTCAATATCACATGCACACACACACATATAGGGAGTCTGCATATAATCTACCCCCATCTTCCCAAAAATATGGTGTTGGTATTGAACAAAGTCCCTTAAAGCCCCTAGGACACACCCATGAGTCATTTTAGATATATCACTTTCTTCTACACATGCACAATCTGAAGCCCCTGCCTCATATTCTAAGCTTTTGGAATTTGGAGTTCTCACTGCTACTTCAATAACCCCAAGTGGTCTGATACATGGTTCAGGTATATGAAGACAAAATACTTTTGATGAAAAATGGTCTGATTTTGTAGACAGGGCTCACACACATCATCCGGAGCTAACAAGAGCTCAAGTAAAGTAAATAGTTCTCTCCAGGTGTCAAAGGGCTATTCAAATCAGTCTATTATACTCAATTCCTACTAATGAAGAAACAAATCAATATTTTTCCTCTTTCGAAACAACCCAGACTGCAACTACATGACATGTTCCCCAATCCAATAATTGTTTCAAATGTTCCTCCTCTGAAGTTTACAAGTGAAGAAACTCCAAATCCTCTCTCTAATGAAGAACATTCTAATGATGTCATGCTCGATAAAAATAGCACTTATGTTGGTGCTCTTCTAATTCTTACAGCCCTCAAGTCATTACAGAAACCCTCTTCTTCCAAACCGTCTTATGATTTTGACATTTCCTCATTCTCCTCGAAACAAGAAGAAGAAATAAAATTTGATGCCAATTCTAAAGTTATTCAAGGAAATGAATCTGAAACCAATCCAAGAAACCAAAGCAACGAAACAGAAACCAATCCTGCTGAGAATTCCTCTCCTTCTAAACTACATGATGTTAATGACTGTGATAATAATGATAACAAGTCCGAGAGCTCTACCTCGGACACCAACTCTTCGGATGAAAACATCGTAGATTTACTTGTCATGTTAGAAATCCGAGACAATATGGCTAGGGCTATTTCAAAGTTTGATTCACTTCACAAGATTGTACCTCAACTCAAATCCAAGCTCGATTCGAAGGTCAGTAGCCTTGACTCTAAACATGAACTAATTCTTAAATCTCCCGTTGAGATCAAAAGTTGTCTCTATGGAACTTGATAGAGCAAATCAACTCATTTCTCTACGTTTCAAGCATACTTTTGAGGAAGTCAAACAAAAATACAATGACAACCTTGATCACCACATCTCCATCACCACTACAATGCCCAATATTCATGACGACATAACCAATGCAATCAAAGAATTTAAAAAAAAAAAAAACATGTTTGTCATGAAAAACAAACCCAAAGGTTGGAGAAGGAGATTCGGAAGAATGATGAAATGAATCTGATAATGCAGCAAATCCTCATAAAGCTACTCCAAACATGTTAGATCATTGTTGATGTTCTAAACAATAAGTTGTTGAAATGCTCTTTGATTTTGGGATCACTGTTTGATGGCCTAAAAGCTCAAGCCTCTACTGCTGAAGCCTATGATGCTCTCTCTAAACAAATTAACATGAGTTTTTCAGAGAGTGTTCGAACATTTAATCAGATTTCAACACAATTCCAAACTTGCATCGGATGATGGGTTTTCCGATGCAAGAGGGGTAGAAGGACTAAGTCAAAGAGATAGAAAAATTCAATGGAATCCTACCTCAGAATTCACTCTCCGAGATGAATCTAATGTAGAAGACTTAATCGATGATGAATTCATGGAACCTCTTGAAAAAGATGATGAAGACCTAATTGAAAATGTTATTCTAGGACTACAAGCTCATAGGAAACAACCACTGAAGGTTATCTCGGAAGAAGAAAATAGGATTTGTTCCACTGTCGCTTGACCATCAACCTTGGCAAATGTGCTCAAAATAAGTCGTGAAATGGCAGGTCTCAAAACAAAACTAACTATTGATGCTTTCTGAGCTATACAATCCATGATGCCACCAATCCCAACTCAAAGAATAGTTCCGATAGATGAAGGTTCTCCAACCCGAAAACTGGATGATCTCCCTGAAGAGCCCTTGATCACTCCTCCTCATGAATATATCATCTACGAAACCTTACAAAAATCGTTGATGACCTAAACGAGCCACCACAAGATATATGTCACACCCCAAAACCGGAACGGCGGAAACATTCTGGGGTGGATGACGTCATGTCAAGTATCACAACATATGCAGTATAGTAATCAAAGTACAACAACCATTGCATTGATAGTAATAGTTTTACATAGTTTACATTTCATAGCAACAACAAAGTAATACAATAAATAATATAGATGCAGCTCGGTACTAGGTTGTCTCCGCAATTTCTCCCAGGATGTACCTGTCTATCGATGACCTAAGAATACAAGTTATTTTGAAAACGATTATCAGCATTTTATGATGCTGGTGAGTTCATAGGTATTTAGTGTCATTTGTATAAATACATATTTTTAATCAAAATAACTTTATGAAAGGTAGTAGTTTAGAATCTACGGTGTATTAGTGTCCTTTCCAGAAAATCCTATATTTTCTAAGTAAAAGAAGTCTTTTACCTAGACTTGACAGGTTTATGTTTTAAAGTGGAATTTTCCCCAAAATGCTATCCTTATTAAAATACACTATTGACTTTAAAGGAAAAATAAGTAAAACACAAGTAAAAATACTAGGGGAAAATAACATATACTTCAGCAGTAATACTGCTGACTAAAAGCAATTGAAAACATAGACTCCAGGAGATTATCGAATAACTGATACGCCTGTCTCAGTCTAATAAAGGAAGCAAAAAAATCCAGACAGCATCGATGGAACAATACCGCTTGCATAATCTAAAACAAAAGGGTAAATATGAACTCAAATCTAACCATGTTGATCGACGATAGAGTATCCAGTGATCCTCCAGGTCACGCGTAGAGGTAGTGGCATTATGTCACCCATGGGCCTTACCGGCGCGGACTGTAGCCAGTAGTTTGGGTGTGGGAGTGCCAGTCCCGTATAGATCTATACACATGATGTTCGCTCTCCTTCCCGGAGACTCTGGTTACACGGTGTTGACGCAATGAAGCATCGTAGAGGGAAATAATGTCACGTTCTAAAGCAAAAGAGATAGAGATAGAGATAGAGATATAGATAGAGATAGAGATAGAGACTTCTAACTATTCCTATAATAGTTACTAGGGTTCTAGAAACATGAACAATAGAAGAATGCCTATACTAATCAAGGCGATGGATCGACTGAGAGAGAGAGAGAGAGAGAGAGCTTTTATGTCCATATATGTATACATAATATATAATTAATGTTTAAACGACCTTCGGACGGATATCCGATACCCACCAGACCACATCCCAACGAGGAAAAGGAAATAGGGCGAACTAGCCTCCCTAAGTCCTTTAAACATTATTTATATAACTATACAAATATAGGCATGCATTTAATAAATAAAAGCATAGAACAAAACTTTGGTAAAACATAATACTTAAGAAATTTACGAATTGATGTCATTTTGTAAAACAAGCTTTGAAAAGGGTTTTTATAAAACAGTTTTAGTGAATAAAACCTTTAAATAGTCATTACAATGGATGTCTTTTTAGCAACATACTTTGGAAAACTTTGGATAACCTTTAATGATCTAAAAAGAGATATTCATACTTTAACAGGATTTGAAAAGATGATTTGAAAATAATAATTTGATTAAAACAGTTAACATGCAAAAGTCTAGTTTGCTATAAAATTATTAATCACATGCGGTTTATCTAATAATTGTATAGTTCAACTTGTATTCCCCCTATAAAAAGCAGTTAAAATCATTTAAAACGTTAATTCAGGGGTATGAACTCACCTTTGGCTAGTGGATCCGATGGAAGTGTCGGTCGAGTGCTCGGTGTCAATTGAAGACCTGAACACACTTAGTGACCTAGTAACATATGATGACATATGTTTACATACAATTAGTGATTATAATACTATTTAAACACGTATAAGCATCCTAATGAGTGGAAAACACTTTGGTCAAGTGCTAGGAGGCTATAGGGTTGAAATAAAGGTGTGTATGGTCTAGTTAGGGAGTTTACTCTTCAAGAGTAAACTCTTTATGGAGTTTTCGGCCATAAGACCATGTCCCCATGAGTTTACGGCCCTAAACACATGGGTGGTGTATTTTTGGATGCTAAAAGGTGTTATATCACTTGTAGGGTTAGGCTAGGTTCACTTTTAGGGCTTAAGAAGGGTTTAAGGCTCCAAATGGATCATTTAAGGGAGTTCACGACTGTAAACTTAGAGTTTACAGCCGTAAACTCTCACTTGGTCATCCCCTTCATGCATTAAGGTCTTAAATGAAAGCATATAAAGTTCTATGCATTTTTTTAAAGTTAAATGAGGAAGTTAGGGCATCATTTGGCTCATTATGGGAGTTTACGGCCGATGGACCAATTCTTGGGGGGTTTACGGCCATAAACTCCTAGGTCCTTGGTTTTATTGATTTTTAAAGGCCATACTTCATTTGTGGTTGATTCTAGACATTTTCCCAGGCCATAGGAGGTGTTTAAGGGCAAGTTTAACACCTTAAAATGTGTTCACGGACCACGAAGAGGGGTTTACGGTCCAAGAGTGTTCTTGGGCCGTAAACTCATGTTTACTCCTCAAAATTCAAGGTTTTGGTGTTCTAAGCTCGTATGGGTAAAACACAAGTCATATCTAAGCCCTAGGAGTGATTTAGAAGGGTTTGGGGCTTTAAAACCCTACTTATGGGTGATTAAGGTCCAAGAGTGTTCTTGGGCCGTAAACACATGATTTGGCCCCTATTGGATGTCTTAAACACGAATTTGCATGTTAAATAAGCTACATAACAAGTTAGGATAGATTACCTACGATTTTGGAGCTCGAAATGGGCGTTTTTGGATCGAAAGCAACTTTGTAAAGAGAGAGAGAGAGGGAGAGTAGAGAGAGAGTGAAAAGGGTGTAAATGAAGTTCATTCACTCTTTTATAGGGTTTGAGTTTGTGGCTCAATGGAAACTTACCCGATACTGACGTTAAACGGGGCTTTTGGTCGCACCGGATTAAACGGTCGTAATTTGACCTGGTTGAAACTAGAATTTTTCAAGAGGAAAAATTGAGGGTGTTTCTAATTTGTTTCAACCCTTATGAAGTCATAATAAAGTCGAATTTAATTAACATATTCCAAATGGTTAACATAAAATTTAATAACGCGAGGCTTATTAACAGAAGAAGAGGTTAAAATGACGTCATCCCCCCATTAGAGGGAATTTCGTCCCGAAATTTGGGTGTAGGCAAAGAAGTAGGCACGAACAATTGGTTAGAGGTATGAGGGTACTTCCTATTTGGTTGGTCCTCACACTCCCAAGTGAACTCTGGACTTTGCTTGGCATTCTAACAACCTTCACTGACGGGATGTGGATTCCGTTGCGTTCAGTTAGTGATTCCTACAGGTGTGTCTATGAAGTTAGGGTTCCTAATGGTTTCTATCAAGATGAGTGGAATACAAAGACTAACGTCGGGCAACACTTTTCAAGTCTAAGGAGTGGATTGATTTGGGGGCGAAGGTTATGGAATTTCCGAAAGTAGTCATGGTCTGTCGAGGATTGGTTCTTAGAAAGTTCGGGTTATCCTTGGATTCGTGTTTCTTGTTGATTTGCTTTCTGAGGTCTTCTAGATCATCAGATGAATTGGATGCCTACGGGTATCTATTTGCTGCAAGGTGTCTATCTCAACCTAAAGCAAAATGAACCTGCACTTCTGATTCTTGAGATGTTCCTAACAGAACTATCAGGGTTGGGGAGATAGGGTTGTACCAGACAACTATTTTTTAATGCTTCTAAACTTTACATCATCGTCTAGTTGATGCTCCCACCATATCATTCCTAATAGGACGAACCATGCTCTTACTTGCCTTGCTGCTTCATGATTAGCAATCTCTGCTCAGGGCTAACTCAGTTCTTAGAGATCTTCTACAGTTTTGGACTATCTCGGGAGGTGGTTCCGCTATTTCCGTGTGAGATAGTATTCTTGGAACACCTGGTAGTCCAATGAATCTCTAAGATAGGCCCTATTCTCTGAGGTGTCAGTTTATTCCAGCTGTAGAAGGCGCGTTTTCTTATATAACGCATCGACTAACACCT